TCTGTCTCTTTGTGTCATTTAAACTGTGCCAAATCTTCTGTAATAACACTCTTGCAGGAATATTACTGCTATGCAAGGCACCACTTTTTGACTTCCAGGTTTTAAGTAATTACAGGTTGAGTAACAGTACCACTAAAACAAAATAAAATAAACAAAACAAAATAAAACAAAACCACAAAACCTCCCTACAATGCTGGTACAAATATTGATTTGTAGATTCTCCTTTTTACCACCATGTATATATTACATCACACCTGAGTATCTCATCCCAGCCTCCCTTTATGCGAACAACTCTTCCCTTTTGTCCATATTCTTTCAATATAACAAATATTTTCCTATTATAAAAATAGTATTTCAAGGCTATGTGTATCATACGTTTAGAGTACGTCTTTTTCCCAGCATCAGGAAAGAAAAAACTCCTTAAGAATCCCTGTTTTTATTTTCAGAAAGACATACTACTTCCACTGCTCTCACTGCAGCATCCTGTGTGCTGCTGGGTTGTAATTGCAATGCAAAGATTGCTGAGGTTCTCCAGTCTTTAAGAATTGTTCAGGGTTTAAACTCATACACAGTTTGTAATGGGGCTAAGACCAGAGTTTTGAGTCAAAAATTAAGTATGCTCATGTATCCTAAGGCACAGTGTGCTTTGCAGGCAGACTTCAACACTGATACTACAACATTACTGATTTGTTGTTATTCCAAGCCAAACACAGCTTTTCTGCCTGGAACCCATTTTCCTATGGGCTTCAGAAAGTTTCTGAACTTTCTGAAAGATTTTACCCTCCTTGGCTACTTTAGATTTTACCTCATATCACTATTATTTTTTTGTGGCTCAGACATGGCTATTTCCCTTTCTGGTGAAAACACAGTAAGGATGTATTTTTGAGGGTGAAAAAATGCATTTAAATTTCTCTAGAACTGAGGAAGACCTTAAGTCTCTTACTGAAGTTGCAGGAGGACCCAGATATTTAAGTATAGTCAAGGTAGTAGTGGTGTCCTTCTGAACCCCAGAAAAAGAGCAGGGTGGGGATTTTGGGGACCTGGTTCCTTTCAAGGTGTGAGTGGTGATAGTTTGACTCATACTCCTATAGCTGATTACAAATTAGATTGTGCAAAACACAGGCATAGGTAAGAGAGGGCCTTGTGCAGATTTAGGGGGAATACGTGGTCAGCGCTGGAAAAAAATGCCTGATGATGAGCACTGCATTTGCAGTGTGTTTCTGTTTCTCTGTGCTGCTCTGTGACCATGGGCTTCTTCAGCCCATGTGGGGGTATATGCAGTATTGGCTCTAAAATGCAGCTGCTAAGGGCATGCCTGCTTTCTCTTTTCTGTATCTGTGCATATTTAGGCTAGTCTGAGAGAGGACTAAGAATAACAAGATACAAATAAGAGAATGGGAGCTTTGGTTGAGTAATTGGAAAATTGTTAAAGAAATGTCAGGTTCCTAAACTTGAATTATTTACAGTCACACTGGGTATGGCACTGGAAGACACAGCTGAAGGAAGGATGCAGGCAAATTCCAATTTCTGATCCTAAGCCCAGAATGCCTCTAATGCATATTTTAGGATGTTTTTAGCTCTGAACATGTGAAATAAGACAAAATTAGTTTATTAGCCCTTCATATGCAAACCTATTAATATATCCAAAGTAAGCCTGTAGAGAAAGGCAAACCCTGATCTGTGTACAATGTCTGCACTAAAGCCCTATTTGTCTTTTGTATTTGTATTTGAGCAAATCTCCCTGCTGGGTTTCCAATGGGCTGTGCAACATCTAAACCAGTATGCCAGGCATAACTCACGTGCTTGTACCAATATATGATGTTTCAGGGTTTGTCCTTAGTGTGCTGGATGTTGAACTCAAATATGCATTTCCTCCAATCTGATATCTTTTTCCAGATCTTTGTCTCGTTTCAGATGATGCCTTAAGGTCGTGTTATCTTCCCCCTGCGATGGGTCTAGAGTATGAGTCAGGAATGTAAACTGAGGTTTTAATCAGCAGTAGTTTAAGTAAAAGAAAGGAAGAGCAGCTGCTGGAGTTGGAATAGCTTGGGAAGCATGGAGTTACCAACACTTTGCATAGCTTGTGCATGAGTCACTGTGTGACTGCTCATCAGGCTAGGTCATGAAGCATCCCCCAAGAGGGCTGTAAAGGCTTTTGGGGCCTGAAAACTAAAGATAGGAAAATGCTGATGCTTCTGTCAGGCTGGAACCTAAGGGCTAAGCATGGTAACATACTTAGCAAAAACCAACCAAACAGGCAGCCTGACTGCCCTGAGCTTCCATGGATGCCTTTGGAGCACAGACTGCCAGGCTAAACAGGGGCCAGCGGAGGGCTGGGGTTCCTGTGTGTGGCCTTTGATGCTGCCAGCTCATTTCACCTGAAGTTCTTCTTTGGGCCCAGAAGGGGAGGTTGAACCTCTCTTAATAGAGAGCATGTTCTTTCTCAAAAGAACCGCACAAAAACCACAAGTAACCCAAACCCCATGCCCATGCACAATAAAATGCAATATTTTACATAGTTTAATTCTATTTAGGAAAGGAGGGAGAAGAAAAAGCACTAATGTTTAGGAGCAGTGACAGTAGAAAATAAGGTAGGAGGATGAAATGAGGAAATGAATTATTAATTCTCTGGCAATGTCTTTAATCTACTAGAATCTGTACTATTTAAGAGTTTCTACTAAAGCAATTCCATGAAAGGTGGTTGTACTGGATTGTGGTTAAGACACAAGCAAGAGGACCTGGAGTAAGTTCCTTGTTCAGCCAAAAAATTCTTTGGGCACTGCTCAGCATGCTTAAATTCAAGGTTTCCAATCTCCTCTCAGGAATAGAGTAAGTGGGAACATTCTATTTCCCTATTCCAAGACTATGGTGAAGATGATTCAAATTATTTTTGAGACCTCCAGTGACCCATGGTGAAGTTTACTAGCAAATACCAATTTAAGAGAGGTGAAAACAGCAGATTCTGGGTGGTTTGACAGGTCAGCAAAGCTGGACAAAGAAATTAATTGTAGGAGCACTCTGATGCCAACAGGAGCATTACACAGCTTGCCTTCAGTAACCACTGTTGTGGGCAAGTCCAAGTCTCCATGCCTAGATTTAATTTAAAAATGAGTTTGCCGTTTTGAAGAAAGGGCTAAGGCTTAAAAATACATTTGCTGCATCCCAGCCAAGCAGGTTCATTTATAACAAGAAGACCAAAGACAGATTTTTTGCGTTAGAGAGAGGACTTTATTATTTCTCTGCTTTGTTTTCTTTGGAGTCCTGCTGAAAAGTTTTTGATTGCATACAAGTAGGAGATCAGTTGTAATAAGGCGTGTCTCATGTTGCTGCCAGGTCTGAGATATTTCTTTGTGACTTTTGCACACGGCTTTGATTTTAAAGGGGCACTATCATAGATTCATTTTGGATGAATCAGACCTTTAAAATCACTGCATCAATGAAAACAACCCAAAAACTCTGCATTTCCTTTTTAAGGACATCTTACTGAGAGGTACACATATATTTAAAAGTACCCAGCACCGCTTTTTGTTTCTTAAATAGCATGTGAGTTTAATAAAACTAAATGCATGAGTATTTCTAAAAGCTCCCTTCTTGATCTTTTAGACTGCAATTCTTCACTCCTATATTACTCTGTATTCAGGTTTACTCTTTCTATATTAATTTTGCCTACCACTTCTCTTGGGCAGTAAAAGTAGACTTGTCCAGGCTTCCTGGTACTCATTCTTTCACGGCACAAGCAGAGTAACTTGGGTTAAGAAGTTAGAAGAGGACGTTGGATTTTAATTGTCTGTTTTCTATCATATTTGAAAAAGTTATAAAAACAATTGCCTCAACATGCGGTGCTGTAAGTTCCCTTTCCCCATGTTGTTTTTGGACCTGCAGTATTTTGAATATGACATCTTACAAAAAATAATAGTATTTTTAAAACCTCCTACTGGAGTGCATTTGATTTGAGTTACACAAAGCAAATGTGGAGGACTAACAGCCCTCTGAAAATAATCAGTGACGGTAAAGCAGTGTTGTTTGCTTCCCTCCCCGGGGCACATCCTGTTCTGTGTGCATGTGTAGGACTTTCTGGGACTCCTTGGAGAACTATGTGCATCTGCCAGCAGAATTTAGCTCCTAGATATCCAGAAATATGTTTGGACACGGTGCAGTGGCACAACCAGCTGGTTCTAAATTTCTGATAGGAGCCAGACCTTTAGCCAGGAGTGCTGAGATGAAGAGAACTGGTGATGTCCCTTGTGAGGTCCCTACTCCAAGGATTTTGCATCTCCTTCTGGTCAAGAACAGCTGTTCAGCAGTCACAGTACAGGATGGACTCTGTTGGAGCAGTGGGCCTTGTAAATACACATGACAAAATATCCATTACCATAAAGGTAGCTCATCTCCCCTGATTTCAGGAGAGCAATGCCAGATCACGTCTGCTGACAACCCAATAATTATATAAGAATTTCCTACTGGTTTAATGGACAATCTAACCCCTGGGGTTTTTTTTCTGAGAAAAATCTGACTTTCTAAATGTAGCAGATGGGGGGTTTTTTAAGTGCTTCTTTACCATCTTGAGCATCATATAATGAAAACCTGAGCCTTCAGGTCCTCAGGATTTTTTTTTTCCTCCTGTTACCAATTCCCACGTGTGCAGGCATGTCCTGAAGTTATCACATGGCATGTAATTGCTGTAGGGAGGATGATAATTTCAAGTAAGAGCACATGAAGCAGGATCAGATTAATTCCTTAATCAGCAGAGAGCCCAGCCTCTTGTGTGTGTCTGTTACTTCAAATATAAAGGCAAAACTCCACTCCCTTTATTATATATAGATTATGAAAGGAATTGTTTTGAAATTGAAATTTTCTTAAAGTAATCACTGAATCACCCACAAGTAATTTCTCCACCAACTAGCAAAGAATGCCTTAAACCTAGCAGTTCTAGTTAAAATCCTTTCTGGACATAGTTGTAAAATGCAACAGCCATGTGAGAGAGGACAAGAGGAGCAAGGGATGATAAGATCTATGTAAAATCAATTTTGCTGCATTTGCTGATGAAATCTCAAAGGGAAGAGGCTTAAGAACCAGTGAGCCCATGAAAACAAACAATACAAAAATATTAATTTTAACTTCATTGGTGCGTTTATAATGTAAGTAGTGAAAGAGCTTCTTGTGCATACTCATAGAGTCTGGAGATTCTTATTTAGCTGTGTGAAGAAACAAGAGTGAAAAATGACTAAATTCTGAGCAGTGCACTTGTTTATCCACTGTAGAAAACTTTAGATATAAAACAGTCTGAAAAAAATTTGCTGCCAACCAGTGTTTCAAACTCCTCTGTATAGAACAAAGTCAGTCACCTGGAGCTCTGACTAGTGGTAAACCTGGATGAAACTTCACCTCAGACATCCTGGAGAATCCATCTTTGGTTATTCTTGTATTGATATATACAGTGACAACAAGGTGATTAGGATTAAAAACTCAAAAAAGCTACTCTCTGGCCACTTAAGTCTTTATAGAAAATCACTTAAGTCTTTAAAGAAAACCCTTTTTTTTCTGAGATACTTTGTGGTTCATGATGGAGACAGCAACTGCGAGGAGATGGTTACATCAGCTGCTGTATGATCTGTCTTCCATGGCGTTGTGCTCTGATTCAATCCTTTAGTGAGTTATAGGCTTTTGCAGTCCGGCTGTTGATGAAATCCGCCTTCTTAAAGTCAGCCTTTGGAATGGGAGAAACAGAACAATTCATTATCTTCAGGGCTGATTCTGCAAGGGAAGGGTGGGTCCAGCTGCCCAAAAGCTGGATAAGGAGCCATGGTCAGGGTCTAGGCAGAGTCCTGTGCAGTCACAGAGACAGAACAGGCAGTGCTTGTTCAGTCCAAAATACATGAGAGGATAATGGTAATTGCTGAACTCTCTCCACTGACTGTACCAGGAGCCTGTTCGTCTAGCTCAGCTCTACAGACTCCTAACTTTTAGGTGACGAATAACTGAGATTAACCTAGCTGAGATTAACCCTGTCAGAACAAAGAACACAGGGCAATGCCAAAATGACTCAGGATTTTATCAATTTTATTTGATCAAGTGATTTCTGTGGCTTATCAGACTAAAGTCAAGGCATTAGAAACTTCTGAAGTTTTCAGTGTCATACCTGGTGTCTCTAGGGGACCTGATTTGCATAGAAGGAGCAACTAGTTAGCATTTTTTAAAATCTGGTCTGACAAACGTGTCTTGTAGGCTTTCCAAAACTACCAGTAAATTAATAAAATAAAACTCATGCCATCAGGCACATGGCTGTATGGGAAAGTCAGGAATGCAGTTGTAAAAAAACAGAGATAACAAAAGCTAGTTAAGAATTTATATGGCACAATAGCCTTATCTTGAACACAGATTTCTGGTTTGTGGGGCAGTACCTGTTGAGTATGATGCAACACTGTTAAAGTTTATGCTAAGAAACTTTTTTGGAGCAAATTTCAACCAAAAAAATCTACAAAGAGGAACAGCTGAGTAATAAATGCCAACAGCTTGCTTGAGAACTTCAGTTATAGGGAATTTGAAGTGACAAATTCTGAACAGCAAACAAACAAGGATTGAAAACAGTTTGAAATGCAAGGTGAAGGTAGGGAGATGAAAATTAACTCAGCTGTGAGTTGAAGAAGCAGGCACAGAGCTTCGAAAAAGCCAAACTGGTTTGTGACAGACTCATGCTGGTCATTTTTTGTTTGACCTGACTGTGGCAGTAAGTGTTTGCCAACACCTTTCCCAGGTCCTAGGTTTTGTCTGAATATAGCTGACACCTGGGCTACCAGGCCATGCAAACAACAAGGAGAACAAAATTGCTCAGCAGGAAGTTGCCTCGCCCTGCCTTTGTTTTTGCTGGCACCATAGTTCCTCTATAACAGGCTGGTTCAGCAAGTGTGGATGGTCACCTACTCTGCATCACTCCTCATCAGCTGACACTTCTGGCAGGCAGCAGCAACATTTTCATAAGCTTTGCCAGCAGATATAAAACCACAGAGGGAGAGAACATAAACAAAGATGAGCAAAAATTAAGACCATGCATTACTTACGCAGGCTTGTGTGCAAGTAAATAAGAAAACCAAATTCAGGGACCACTTGAATCCTGTCATAGGTTGATTCTTAAATGTATAAGAATGCTAAGGGCCCCAGGGGGCAAATGAAAGGGTTCTAGGTCTGAAAGAACAGATTATTTTTCTTTGTGCTTACCTTTTTGTAAGCACTGTGGAGATCCGTGTGTGACCACAGGGAGTAGAGGAGGACTGAAGCAGCCCTGCTGGCTTTGCTGAACATAATGCTGCCATTTTGCAAAAAGAATGGTAAAACATATTTAAATTCCTGCATCGTAATCACGGTGCATGTACAGACTTCAGAAAACGTAACCTCATAGCATTTGTTTGAGCCTACATCTTAGAGCAGCTATCATATTGTGCATTTTCAGCTGAGGAAAATACCCTCAGCACAAGCAGCATTTCAAAGAATCTTTACAGCAAGTAAAATCTCTGGTTAATTAGACAGCATTTAAACTATTCAGGGCCTCGTGAGGCCTTCTTTACTGAGATCCATTTCCTCTTTCATTTTGCAAAGAGAGAGCAAGGCAAACGGAATAATTATTCGTATTTATAAAGCATTAATTATCTTTTGAGTAAATATTGATTGCATGTGTTTACATATTAAAGAACGATGACGTTTTCAATCTGTTCTCTAAAATGGCAATATATTATTTTTAACTACATAGTATAATATAGTATTTTTAAGTACAGATTGCTAAGTTCTATAAAATGTACGTTATTTTAAAGTTTATCAGGGCTGTGTTACAATGAACAGGAAAGACATTTTGGGTACAGATGAGGTCTGATGATCAGTCACTACATACATATCAGAATAGAGATAACATTGTGCAGTTATCTTCTGAGGAGTTATTTAAAATGCTGGAACCTGATGAATATAGCTATGGATGGGAGAGCTGTTGCAAGAGACCTTTCTCTATTTCCCAATCAGTGCAATTCTATTCACATTACTTGTTTGGGCTGTCCTGTACCTCGAGATGAAGTGTTTTTTCCTCCCCAGGTGGCAGAGCCTGCAGTTTCTTTTTTGCCTGGGGTAAGAGTGAGACTTGTGGAGTCTCTTACCTGTCATTCATGCTGATGGCAATGACCTTGGGCAGGCCGTGGGCACTGAGGAGCAGCCGGGTGTTGTGTGAGCTGCTCTGAGTCAGGTTGAACAGGGTGTAGCAGATGGACGCCGTGGTTTCACAGGCAACGTCACACCCTGGCACACACTCGGGCAGGATCGACACCAAATCAGGCAGAACTTCTCTGGCTGCAAGTTGGGAGACAAGCAATTCCATCACTAACAGGTGTGGATTTACCTTATTCCTCCCATTCTCCCTGATCAGGGAGCTGAGTGCTCCCCACCACACACTCGTGGCTTCCTACCTGCATTACACCCCCACAGTTCAGGTGAAGCTGCATCCACACTACACTGGATAGCCTGTAACTTGCCTCATGCACAATCCATTAATACCTCGTGTGCTGGACTGAACTCACCAGGCATGTGCCAGCTGCAGGCTGCCACTTCTCTTTTAAGAGATGTTCTACATTAAATTTATCTCCATTTGATATGGAGGTTCATTTTGCTTGATAAATTTAGACCCTTATAATCTAGAAAACAGTGTGCCCTCTCAAATGTTTTCCTTCGGCCGAAAATTTTCTTTTTGGAATATGACCTGAATTCACACATGCTTTCGGTCAATCAAAAAGAACATCTTTCGACAGAGAAAAGGTTCACCTGAAATTTGCCCAGTCCTCTCTATTATGGGTAAAGCAAGGAACTAACTGTGAATGTGCAAGATGAAGCACCTGCCTCCAAAGTTTTGTTCTATTCTGTCTTTCCCACACTCTCATAAATTACATTTTTCCTGACGAAATCCCAACTTCTTATCAGTTTAATTTCTTCTCTCTCAGAGGGATTCACTACCTGTAACTGTTAACACCATATGGATTATCCCTTTGAAATCAGACCACCAACATGTTATAATATTTTCATTAATACGGAATGTTCTCTAAGGATCAAACAAGGCCCAGGAGACTCTTCTGCAGAATTCTGGAGGTTAATCTGCCCCATGAGCCATCTGTATGCCTGGAATTTCCCCTTTCCCCCTTGGTGGGAACACAAAAAAGGACAACAAATTATTTGAATACATTTTATCCTGTCAGTAGGAAAAAGTCTGAAATGCACAATAAATTAAAATGAGAATACTCAGAATAGAAATGGCTTTTATTTAGAAATGAAATAATTTAAAAAGAATGAGCTATTTTTTCTATAGCATCTTATAGCTTCATTTCTCAAAAAAATGTTGCAGGAAAACGGTGTGGGCTGCAAACTTCTAAAGCTTTGTGCCTAATAAAAGAGAGTCTGATCTTTGCTAGAAGAATTAGAGATGCTCTGTGATTTCTTGCAAAGCATTATGCAGCTGTGGCAGCACAGAACTCGGCACTCACATTCCTTTACCCTATTTTAAGCAGAAGAAAAACTCCCTCTCCAAATCTGTGTAGACTTTACTTCGATTGTGTATTTTTGAAAGCAACACCAATGAAAGTATCTGAAGAGGAATACCCAATTAAAAACTTTATTGAGGTGAAACTCTTTATTTTAAGCCCTGTACAGTGACTGCAAGTATCTGGTGAAAAATCTACTAAACTGACTAAAAGCCCAGATGAGGGGTTTTTTACGCATTTATTTTTTTTTTTTAAACCTGAAACTTTAATGTGAAGAGAGCAGAGCAATCTCTCTTTGGTCTTTGCTCACCTATGTCATTTTTCAGGGAGGTGTTTCGAGACAGGTTCCTGAGCAGTGAGACCGCTGTTTTCTTCACTGCGGGGTGGCTGACGTGCAGCATAGCTCGGATGCTTGGGAGGCCATTTGCCTTCTGAACAACAGTCCGGGCCACTGCGAATGGCATCTGTGGAAAGGCAGCTCTGTGTCATTACCACGAACGCAGAGCCTCAGAAAAAGCCACACACAACCAGTTCTCTGCACCAGTTTAAGCATGTTTACAATAGTTTTAAGCTAGAGCTACATATGAGTTGCAACAGGAAGTGATGTATAAGAAGTCTCAAGCCCTCTTTCTCCCATGTGCTCTTTGGCTTGTTCCTCAGACAGATATCATTAGTTTCTTCAACACAAAAGTGATCTGCTGTTGTGTCAGAGCCCTCCTCTCTCCACAGGACTATCTTCCACAAAATTACATTTTTAGTGCTTTTAACATCTCCTCATCCCTCACTGTGTAATGAATTAGCAAACTCCACACATGGAGATATACACAGAGGGAGAAGAAGATCTGACAAGCAAGGAAAAACTGCACTGCTGGTTATGACTTTCTCTTCTCTTCAATGTTCTTCATTTTCCTTCGCCATGTCAGTGAGCCAGTGACTTGTCAGTGGTTATTTGACTCAGCTGCACTGCAGCCCTGAACTCTACTCATTCACATCAAGAACTAAATGAGAAGAAAAGGAAAAAAGCTGACTTACTGGTCCAGTGCCAGCTGTGAGGTTCTGCAGAGCTCCCAGGGATGCTTCCTGGGTGTAGTTTCTGGTACTCTTTGCTATTAAGGAGAGGTATATCCTAATCAGTGTAGAATGCCAGAGTGATTCAACACCTTTAGGATTGCTCTTTTCCTCAGGTAGCGGGGTGTCCTGCTGCTTCTAAACATGTAAACAGATCAAGCCTTTAGAAACCGTGATCTCAATGGCTAAATGCATCACAAGCTGAACTAGCAATTTTGTAAATCTCTATGACCAAGTTATTTGGAGACTGTCAAGTTCTGAGCTCAAATAAATATGTGCAAAATTTCAGTATTTAATGATAGTTGCCAGTCCATCAAGTGGAGTAGTCCTCACCTAATAAAACATTTGCTATGTCATTGTCATCAGCATCAGCTGAATAAGAGAACTGGTGTCAAGGACCATCAGTAATTTTGCGCTTTTGGGGCAAGGAAGTGCCACCCTACCGGATACATCCAATAACAGACTTAATGAGACATCAGCCTTAGTCTCTAAAGGCTACTACAAGTTATTAACCAAATGAGATGTAACTAATCATGTACTTTACCTCTTTCACTTTTCTGCTCCGTGTTCCAAAACAGCCTGGTGTTTTATCATTGTTAGAAATATTTCTTCTTTGCATATATATGCTCTGGGCATAGCTCTCAGGGAGCTCTATCTCTAGCTGGTAAGAAAGATTGTGAAGAATGCATACACAGTTTTCTGTGGCCTAAAATAACAAAAGAAGAGAAATGTAAAGACATGGCAGGAGATGTCATTTTTGGATCTTCAGTAACTGACTGCAGAGTTTCTAATGCCTTCTAATGGAAGAGCCAGGTTTCATGCCTTTACACTGATAAATGCAACATGCCCTGGGACGTTCCTGAGCACAGACGCCAGCTGGCACAAGGGGCTGCATTCAGAATGGGTGCGTGCCTGCTGGAAACTGTCCTGGAACACTGTAATTTCTGAACTGTGCCTGGGAATTGTTTGGGCGAGTGCTGCTTGACACAGGCCAGAAGTGTGCCAAGAAATGTTTAAGGGTTATGGAGTAAAGATGATCATGTACAAACCTCACCATAGCATCAGCAAGAGGAAAGCTTTTAATCTTCCCCAAGGAGGAAGCATTTTTCTGTGGTAGAATGCTTTTTAAAATAAGACATTCCTTCCTGAAGGAGGCTAAGATGAGGTCTACAATTTCTGAGTGATGAGTCTAGTGACAAATAGCTTTGTTACCAGTTCCTCCTATTTTGAAAGTGAACAAGGAATGGTTTTAAGACAAAATGCAGCAGGGAGCTACTGGCACACGTGTAATGTGCTGGATTCTCCCTGAAGCTAATGGCACTGGATACAGGGGGATGGGGAAGCTCAAGTAACTAATCCTAGAACAGAGCTGTAATTGTGCAGTAATTACCACTACACAGCACGAGTTACAGCAGGCCCAGCAGAAGTGCCTCACAGGCTGCAGCTAACCTAAGTGACAGCTGCTCTTCTCACCCAGCTTCACCCAGCTGAGAGAAAAGCTTCTACTCCAAGAGTCTGTGTTCAGGGTTCACCTGCACTCAGTGACGGGAGGAAGGCTCAGAGAAACAGCAAGGAAAAAAAGTGCAGCTTTTTTTTTCTAAAAAAAAAAAAACCTAGGAAAATTAGTTTTATTCTAAATGATGCAAGCTCCTTAATCACACTGCCACCCAAAGAGATTTAGGTTCTTCATTTCCTAAGGGGTATGTAGCATTAAATATATAGGAGGGTAACCAGATTAATTTTTTAGGCTTCTAGCTAGCTAGCACCCTGAGACAACCAAAAAGGCAACATCTTACTCTTCTATGTTTCAGCATTTCTGAAAGCTGTGATTTTATTCCACATTTAAAAAAAAAATAAGACAGAAGTTTCTACCTTTCTCTCTGTGATTCTGAAATTGTTTTCCCAGTGCTAACTTATACTATTCTTTTAGATTGCAGGATAAAAATACTTCAGAAAGCTTCTTACTGGACTTTCACCTTTGGTGGCAGTTTTAAAGGCCCTGGAAATAAATTTTGCAGTTACATCACAGCTGTTTCTGAACACTGGTTTCTAAACAACAACATAAAAATATTTACTTGGCAATTTCCTCTAGGAAAAAACTTTTAATCGCAAAGAGTACCTTGTCATTGGGCTCATGGTCTGCAATAGCTCCTTGGATATAATACACAAGAGAATCAATCAAGCCCTCACATTCTCTCATCATCTTCCTTCCTTCTGGGCCAGCAGAGCTCATGTTTCTGTGCAGGAAACAATGTGTTGGGAAAAAGAGATTTAGTCAAAGGTATTTTCTTGTACTCCTCTGACAAACTTTTCCAATTAAATCTTACAGATACTGAAGTTCAGGTTGATTGCTTCTTTTCTTCGGAGGTGTAAGACAATCTGAGCCTCTTCTAGATAAAACTTTCACTCCCAGACAAAAAGAAATACTCCAGGGAAACAAACTGCTGTGTTTGGACAGATAAGGTAAGATCTGACTCATATTTTCATCTCAAAGTTGAATTAATCCTTTTTAAGCAGTCAAAAAGCCCCCTTGGACTTCTTTTCACTATTCCATTTTCAGTTATAATTTTAATATTTAGGATGGTGAAAATATCAGAGGAGAGATACCTGTAAAAATTTCCATGCACAGATGTCCTTTAGAATTAACTCACTTACACTGAGCTGGTTCTTGATCCAAGATGACCCATCAGCAGGCACATGATCTGAGAGTTTTCGCAACATCTCTACATTCGCATGCAAACACCCACTCTTTGCCTGCCTTTCAACTAACATTTTCCTGTGCTTTGTAGTAAACCAAGTACAACTTACAAATGAATTACAAAACTGATTTAAAAACTCTTGAAAAACCAAACACACGCTGCTTGACTCTAAACAAGCTACTGATTTTCACGGAAGAAACAACATTTATGATTTTGGGGTATAATTATTTTTACAACTCAACAAAGTCTGAATTATGGAATACTGGAATTATAAATCCAGACCTTATTTTTTTTTTTACTCCTGCAGCTCTGCTGGACAAAATACTGCACATTCAAGCTTCTTTGTTTGAAATGACATTAAATATAACCCAACCTTAGCATCCATCACACAGAGGGACATATTCCTTTAGATAGTTTCGGGTTGCTTATTTTGCATGCTTACTTTGCCCACTAAAAATTATGTTTACAATTTTATTAATGACAAATCCAGTAAGGCTGAAACTTTTCTGCAGCTTAAGACTGTAAAATGAATGTAGCATTTTATACACTGTCATTTCACTTCTACTACTTCTAATACTTCTACTACTACTACTACTACTACTACTACTACTTCTACAACTTTACTTCTACTATTTTTTTTCCTCTGGGAAGTACATATTCAGGTTAAATATTAAGCACTGTAATAACAATTTTACTTTAGGTCATGATGATAATGATGTCTCTATTTATGAGTTCATTTATTCTCTCATGGAATTATATATCACAGAATGAATATTCAGATCCCACAACATGGCTTACTATAGAAATCCCTTTGGAATTTAATTTTACCTATATACATCACGTTCAAGGCATGTGATCCTTTCCTATGTTTATGCTGACAGAAGTGTACATGTTACAGCCCTCCTGGTGCATAGCAAAAATAGTTTCTGGGGTGCACAGACTAAAAATACTGTCAAAGATAAGTGTGGAATTTCCCTCTCCAAAGGCACTTCAGCTGATGCAGTGTTTTATTTTGTACATTTTCTAAAATCCCCTCAACTTTTTACAACTGATCCTGCTGAATGCTTGTGCAAAGAAAGGCCATACCCTGGCCTTGCTGTCAGCATGAACAGAATCGAGTAAAGAACTTTTATAGCTCAGGAGGCAGAGAAGAGCCCGAATTCGGGGCACTGTCCTGTTTTGCAAGGGAAATTAATTACTGGGCTCCGTTTCATTAAGAAGTTGATGCTCATCCAGAGAGAGATATTAGTGTGTGTCCTTGTGCATGCCTGTACACACATGGTTACTCCTTTCTCCACCTTGCCCTGTTTCTTTAGCATGGCAATGTGCACTGGGAAGGCAAGAACTCCTGCTCTCCCACTGCTGTAACCACCTCACTCAAAACAGGGTCAGAGAAGAGTATTTCAGGCAAAACATAAACTGACCGCTTAAATTTCTTTACTGATTGAAGCTATTTGTTTACTGATTGAAGCTTAGGAAATTATAGGAGATAAAAATACTATTAGATAGGTTAAAAAAAAATATTTCTGAGAAGCGTCACACAAATGTAAATTGAAATATATTTTTAAAAAAAACTAGAGACATTTTGCTTAGATAATTTCAAAACTGACTTCATCTTGGTTTCCTAAGGTTTGAGGCTCCTGACAACTGAAATGCCATCCTCTGAGCTCGGGAGTTGGACTTTATTGTAGTGGAGTTCCATGAGGCCCTAAAATACTCAGTGTTTGCAACATGAGAAGAACGCAGCCCTGGGGAGATTGCTGCTTGTGGGGATGCTCTCCTCTAAATGACCCAGAACTTAAAATTTGGCAGTTCCTACCGATTGAAAATCCCTGACTTCTGGCATAATTAGATGTGGTAATCCTGGTGAGATGCTCAAACTGTGCCATTTGCTGATGTGGATGCCGTACCTGTCTACATGCCTCATTTATCTCATCTTGCATTTGCTGCTTCTGTCCCCTCCTGCACACATGCATGGTGCAACTATATCTGTAATCAAAATAGCTCCTTTCCTACAGTCCTGTGGCATGTGGTGAGGATCAGTTAATTTCCTGTTGGGAAATACTGTTTTGATCCAGAATTGTGAGGTAAGTACAAAGAAATTCGACACAGCTTTGAAAGAAACAGAATGATGATAATAAATGTTCAATTGGCTGATAAATGGCACCAAACAAAAGGGATACTCCCTCTAAGCCAACACTGAGTCATGTAGTGACTGTTGGAAAAGGTTCGTGAACTGCTGTGAATGGTCCACATAACTGATAAGAAGGATTTTGCTCCTGGGACTCATTCTGCTAAAACTGGTAATGTGAATTTAATTCAACTACCAGAAAACATTTTGGGAAATTCTCTTCCCTTCATGCCTTGCACACTGCAAAAATTCACAAAGGAGGGAAAGGTATTTGGGATCTACTCAGTAACTAGACGTGCCAGGCTTCAAGCTGCATGTTGGAAGTAACAGAATTCCTTTCAGGAATTGAGGGAGCAGATAAACTGAAGAGGAGGCAAGAGGAGATAAGAAGGATGGAAATAAACTTAAAGGAATGGCAATGCTATGCAAGAGGCCTTGGTTCAAAGACTTATTATCATCAGTCATCTGTTTTACATTCTCTCTTAGAAGCTGCCATTAGGAGTCAAAGCTTTTCAGCACACAGGGAGAGCTTTGGCTTCACTTTTTTCCAGAGTAAATGTAAGCAGATGTTTATGCAGTCTCCTGGGCTGAAGTGCAAGGATACAGTTTTCTCCAAATGCAGCTTTCCACCGTCTTTGTGGGTCACTGTGTAATTCACAAGAAGCTCAGACAGAAGCTGAGACAGACAAACTATGAAAAATAATAACGAAAAAGGAAGGATGATTTTTACTTTACTGAGTGAGAAGAGAGGGGGTTAGCTGACTATCCTAGAAATAGTTGTCTAGAAAGTTTTGAAAAACTAGTATACATAGGGGCACAGGATGCTTCAGTTACAAGGTAGTTAAAAAGGAAGGCTCTGTAGTGAATTACAGCAGCTTCAGCACTTAAATGTTTTGCAGGGGAATATGTGGTAACTGTGTATAAATTTGGGAAAGTCCAGCATTGCAGAAATTCTGGGAAAAGGTATTTAAAGATAAAAATGGAACCAGTTCATTATCAGCTTTCAAGGTGTGATACAAACAGCCTTCCACTAAAGCTTCCTTTCAGAGGAAAAGTCGTGCCAGAGGTTCACTTATGTATATAAATAATATTCAAAATCATGCATTCTATATGCTGCTGGGATCTTATCCCTTCAGACTCAGAGGAGCATGGGGAAATTATCTTGAAGATTTTTATCCTTTGTATTGGAACTGGAAGCAGAACTTTTATGTGTAGGACTTTCAGGCCAAGAAAAAGTCACTTTACCTTTAAAATCCTAAAGGACTTGTCTACAAATGTCCGTAACACTCATCTAAATAGTTTAATACACCAATTTTACTTTTTCAGCTATTGTCAGGCAACCAGTGAAGTCTGTTGATTTGGTTTACTCTGTCGGTCCAGGCAGAGTTGTTTTTATCATAATTCACAACTAAACAACACTATTACTTATTTTAACTGACAATGCAGAATTCCGTGGCACACACAGCTTCTTTTTATTACATTAAGTTTGTGATTTCTGTAAAGCTTTGCTTCTCATGGGGTTTTAAGACAAAATGCAGACTTAGAGAATGGGATTAACAAATCCTTCTAACATCAGCCTTCCTTATCAGTGACTGCATATACCAGCAACAAGATTCAGGACCCCACAACACTTCTAGCAATAACTGCAGACTGGTCTGGTCATGCAGTCATTCCAGTGCTTGGAAGTACCAGCAATATTATCTGCTAGATGTGGATTCACTTCTCCTGCTGCTGTTTTCTCAAAGAGGATGAAGGAAGCTTTAATTTATAATTTGGTAATGGTGTGGTGAAGTGCATATGCCCCCACCAGATGTTAATGTTGGGTTTGGGCTGTGGTTGTATGGAAATTTTTGAAAAGAAGTTCTGGCATTCTCCTGTAACTAAGTACAGTACTATGCATAATGTATTGGATTTCAAAGTACTATTTTTACCCTCTAATAGAAGCTGCAGGCTATAGACTTTATCAACATGCCCAAGAAACATGTTAGCATTACAAAAGGGAAGCCTAATTACAGGTTTATATTCTGGCAAATAAGTAGACTCTTTAAACATATTCATAAGTAACATCATTCCCTCAATGCACACTTTTGTTGCTCCGTGGTGTGTTCTTTTTATTGATGCAAAGATTTTTTGTCATTAATACATGAGGAAGGAATACTTCCAGTGGCCTAATCTGGGAGGGCAGTCAATCTCCAGAGAAGAGACGCAAACTGATTAATCTTAAAAATCTCAACTGTTTAGCCTGTACAAATAGGTAAGCCTCACTAAAAATTATTCTGTGCTAGGAAGTATGTGGCAATCCTGCAAATCATTTCTACCTGGGAATTTTCAAGCCCTTTTCCTATTTCTAATTTTTAGTGTTGAAGCTGTTAAAAATGAGAAGGACTAGAATATGGACACCATATTTTTAAAACAGGTAATGTATCCTTAAGCACCTACATAAGGGCAGTTTTAGAGGCTTTTCATAAAGGCTGGAGAGCTCACAGCAACTCTGGAGCAGCCCCAAGCACTGCCTTTGTGTTCAGAGTAAGGTTAACTGAGGAATCTAGTTCCATTTAAAAGAACTCAGATACTGTTATACCTTATTTGTCACATTAAAAGTTTTGTCAATCTGCTGAAACAAGCTCAGGAAGAACAACACCAAGCTAAACCCAAGAATGGTCTGCGCCCCCATCGGCTGCCTCATGGAGAAGAGACAATTCCAGAGTCCAAATACCAAAAGAGGAGCAACCAGACTTGTTTCTGCACAAATGCAGCTTGGGCTAATTAATATGAAAAAAGACAGCCTCCTTAATTTCTTAGACAACAGCAATAAGCATTAGCTAAACAGGTTTTATTATGGGTGGTTAATGTTTCTCTGTATTTGTTTTTGAGTCATCACAGTAAATAAAAGTTAATTATTACTTAGAGATGAAGTTAATTAGTAGCTAGTGGGCTGACAGGAGTTCCTGCAGAAAAAGGTGTATTATTGTTGAGTATTTTGTATAGCTTACAATTCATTTGTCTTCTGAAACCACATAAGTCAGATACAGAGCTGTCTGCACAGGAAAAATTAATGCCATACACATACAACTACTCTGCCACAGGACATGTCAGCATTGCAGGTATGTGTGAGGCAAAATGGGCAACTTTCCAGCCTCCAAATTCCAAACTCAATTCCTTGTACTCTACTAGAAGGAGTTGAAACCTCAGGTTATGCATTTGCAGTTGTAGATTACTCCTCAGTCAGTCCAAACTATGTCCTTTTGTGCATTTTTAAATGTGTAAACTTACTTAATGTGCAAAGACTTTGAACTATCAAAGGGCCCCCATTTTATAGACTGTTAAAGGTGTTTTTATTGAAGATGTGATTCTTATAATTCAGCCATTTAGGGGTGTGTTCACTGAGGCCTTTGGTGTTTGTCTATAGTAACTGCTACTGTGTCCATGAGTCAATTAGCAGCTTGCAGTACTAAATATATAACTATAAATCTATTCCTCCACCCCATGGCTGCAACTTCTTGAACATGTGCAAAGGACTGGACAGGGCTTACTCTGGTTTAAAAAATGGTTTTTCCCTAATTTAAGTTGAATCACTTTCTAATTAGTTTGGGCACAGATTACGGTATGTTCAAATAAGCATCTTTGGTAGCAGCTGGAAACAGAACATTTTTATGTGTTTCTAGGTACCATTTCCCCTTTCTAAGTCATCTATTGATGACTTAGAGAAGTGATGTGGCTTGAGATGAACTCTGTGTATTTATCCAGAAATAATTGTGTAGACCTGTTTTGTCATCAGTATTGCTTTGGGTAGTTGTAGACAAAGTGCTCACCTCAGGCATCCTGTGGCATTGTAGAAGATATCAGGGTCGGGTAGAACACTTGATTTTGGGTAATCTCTGTCTGGCCAGCCTGAATAGGGGATGAGGACAGCTTCAGTCAGGGTCTGCAGGGCTTCTCTAACCAACAGGTGCTTCAGCTGGTCATTGGAGGATAGATTCCACAACAAACCTGTAATACCCACAAGAAAATCAGAGAGGCAGAAAGACTCCTCTGCACTTTGAAAGACTTCATCTCATAGCCCTTGATGTTAATGAGTGAAGAGCCTGCCTGGCACTGATAATCTGAAGAGAAGCAGAAGGGATTGGTAAGTGTTCTCCAGTCCTGATCCAGGGACATGGAAACAGGGCAGAAAAGGGGGCACAGTTATCCATGTCAATAAAGTAAAATCTCTACATAGTCAATCTAATGCCCAGCCAAGAAGTGAAATTTTCCATGGCTCTGTACTGTCTATCTGCTACAATCACCTTCTCCATTGCCAAAGCAGCACAAGCTAGGGCAAAACAAACTCACAGAAGGGATAGATGGGAGGTGCAGAGAGTTAACAAGAAACCTGCTGGAAGACAGGAGATGCCCACTACCAAGTTCCTCTAACACCTGATTGCAAAATTTCTCATAAGAGGGAAAGCTGTTAACACTGGTTGACTGCTACTGTCCAGACATTAATCACTAAACAAATCATAAAGTAATGCTACAAACCTCGTCTATTCACAATTTCCAAAACAATTTTCAAATAAAATATTGTAGAACTTAGCAGATTTAATTATGTTCTACTCCAACACACAACAATTCCTTTTAAAGTACTCTTCTCTTGCAAAATGACACGTATTTCTGCTTTTCACTACAAAGACATTAATTGTTCTTCCAGCTTGCTGCTCTAAGTTTCACAAACCTCCTCCTCTACACAATGGCAGAGTATTAGTGAATGCTCCTTTCATCAACTCACAACAACAAAATGTTTCCTTTGTATCTCCTTACACTTTGAATTTAATTTCAGGTATTGTGAGCAACAGTAAAATCAAAACAAAAGCCAGCCAGAAGCAGCCCATTCCTTCCTCTGGGATCAACTCTTCAGCCTCTGAATCAGGGGATAAAAGGAAGAATGTACTTTTCTGAAGTATAAGTAAGGCTTACAGGAAATCAGACAAGCAGTCCAAAGGGCACTGGTAAGTGAAGCAGGTTAAGACAGAAGGGCACAAATGCAGGAAATGGCACAAGGACAGAATATACTGTTAAAAAGAGCAAATATATTGGAATTACAGGCAGATAGTTAGAATTGTCAGAAGAGAATTTGAGATATTGCTCTCATTGTAAATTTTCCAACAAAAACCCTATGTTTACCCCCAGGCACTGTCTCTGGGCTCAGAAGGATTCTCTCAGTGGTATTCTGGGCGTGGATGAATTTGTGCACATTAGAAAATGTCTTCAGGAGTGGATTGTTTCCTTGCACCTGTGCTGTGTTCTCAGGAGCAGTTTTCCCTTAGATGGTTATTTGGAAAAATGGGTGGGGTCTGCCTTTGAATTTACACTTCTTTTAATGACAGTTCTGCTTGTGCTGTAATCTTCCCCGCAGGAAAAATTGTCTTTCATTTCTTATATTTATGCCGCATGATAGCAAGATCAGGAGGTTAGCTACTCCCTAGAGGCTCATCTGGTTTACCTTCAAAAGCAAAAATCTTTTGGTTCTTTCATGCCACAGCCATTTTATTTCTGTTCCTTGGTATGCTCTCCAAACACTATAAAACTCCAACTCTGCCTGAGGTCATGCACTGTCTCCAAATGACATCCTGTCCTACAATTTAGGAGAAACCTCACTCCTTTTCTAAGAGATTTCTAAGTAGCTTGTATGCCAAAGAAAGGACAAAGTCTCTGTATATTTTATCTGTATCAATGCTTTTGTGAAACTAGCAAATTCAGTGAAATTCAGTGATTTTGGGCAGGTCTGATTCCCCCTGTGAAGAGATCCTATGAGTACAGAAATTGCAGAGAAACTGGGCAGCTCTTTTTTTGCACAGGGGAATTAGGCAGACTGGTCCACAGCTTTCAAGCTGCTTTGTTGGGGGCAGTGGTTTGGTGTTTCTTGTGTGTTCACAGACTGTGAGGCAGTCATAGCATGCTCTGTAATCAGCATTTATCTCCACACACTTTGGCTGCTCTCTTTTCACAGCACAATACAAGGCACAGTGCACGACTGGGCTCAGTCTGTATCCTAAGCCTGGGTCTTGAAGAAAATACATACCATCAAAGTATTCTTTGAGAACATAAGATAAAATATGGATTAATGTTAGGCAAGTGCTTGTCTGTACTAACACTGATGGTCCTAATAAACCAGTGACCTTTAAAGATAAGCTTTTAAGGCTGAGGTTTATTTATCTTATACGCAGAAGTACTATACTTCAGACAGGTAATGAACTATAGAATCAGAAAACTTCTGACTCAGAGTTTTAACTTCCTTCTCTCCTAACACTTCCTTATCTTCGTATACTTTTGTCAGGTGGAGTGGTTTGGTACCATGCTTCCCACACAGCAGAAGAAAACAAAAAACTTCCCTCTGCTGAGCTTAGACATCTTTATTAATTAATATTGCATGCTTTAATCCTTGGCCAGGAGTATTTCACTTCAGTTCAATGAGGTATTATCAGGTACTAAGATGATTTTATTTATCTCTTATGGGGAAAACATTTAGCTGAATATGATGCCATACAGTTGCAAGTCCCTAATTTACAGTCAAAGTAATTTGTATGATGTGGAAAGACAAATGGGCTTCTGGTGCTTACTGGTGTAAGACCAAATCTTTCACATTAACCTTTTCCTGGAAGTGCACACTTCAGAGATTGCTTGCGTGGATATGATATTCCACTAGTCCTGTATGAAGTCGAAGGAAATGCAAGAGGTGAAATTCATTCATCCAGACTGCCCTTTGCTCTTGTAGACTCCTTGCAACTTGCTAGGGAGCTGGAAGAATTGTTCAAACGATGGCAAAAAGTATGTCCCAGTGGCATTTTCACTAAGGTACCCAATGCATTTTCTCCTGGCTGCACATTTGGTCTTGAACAAAGCAAGAAATACTTCTCTCTCGGTGTATTTTTAAAGCTATCCTTTGCAACTGGTAGGCATGAATGCACATAATAGTATTTTGCTTTACACAAACTACATCATCCTGCTTGGCATAGATATTTTTTTGGTGTCTTTTTTGTTTTGTGAATAAATATTCATGTTCAATGACAACAGTAATTGCTGAAAGAAGATGTCCCTTTATCTATTTCCACATGGGTGATGGGGAAGACAGTAATATTCACAATATACATGTGAGTTATCAGGCACAGTCAACATTTTTGTCAGAAATTATGAAACTGCTAGCATGGAAAGAGCATTGGCTTTCTGGACACTCTACCACCATTTTCACTGCTTCCTTCACTGGTGTGTAACAGCACTGAGAGTTAAGGCACTATACTGTAAATTACTTTGTGACTCAATTCTGCAACCGATGAGTGTGAAAAACTCTAAAACATTTTAATGTTGCAGAGCTGCAGAACTGAGCTAAAAAAGAGCCAACAATACAAAGCTTTGTTCTCCAGCTTAGGGAGCAGAGTATTTCAAATACTTTAAAGAATGCAGAATTACAGAAGGTCTCGACATGTCTTTGCTTCAGGACAGGGCTGCTTGACAACTTTAGTATCTTTTCATGCACTTGTGTCTTCATAGATTTTGTTCCTAGTGTCTTTAAAGATCACTTGAAATAAATCCCCATTAATTTTTTCATGTTTTCCATTTATAAAATATAAGCCTGCTCTTCCTTTGCACGCCAATTAGAAAGAATGTGGGGTCACAAGCAGAGGAATTCCAAGAGACACACTATGGACACACAGGACTGCAGGGATGGAGTAAGAATCTGGGGCAGTGGAGTTTGTGGGGAATAGAATCACTTTCTGTCATGTGACAGTTCTGGGTGACAGTATTCAACAAGGAACTTCCAGTACACACTCTCAGCACAGAGTCAAAAAATGAAGGCTGAGCTTCTGTGTATGTAGCAGGCATTAATTATGGTCCCAGGCAGGTCCCTAGGGAGCCTGACTTTATTTTCTGCTATATCAAGGACTTAAGGCTTCTTGCAACCAGACTCACTTAATTTCTGAAGAAGCTTTAAGAGGGGAAGTTGCAGTACCTAATCTCTTGTTATTGACTGAAAGACTGGTCTTGAGTAAGGACCTTGGCATTTTACCCTACTGGAATTGCTTGGAGTTGGGGACAATATTTTTGTATTTAGTCACTAAACACGGGCTTAAGTAAACAATCACGTACCTGTCCCTGAAAGCTTTTGCATTACTTAAAGCACTTCATGATTGACTGCAGAGAAAACACTACCTGTGATTTGCTTCTTAGTCTCTATCTCCCTGGTGTGCCGCAGCAGGCAGAGCAGGACTGGGATCCCTTTCTGCTCTGACACTTCCAGTTTGTTGTCATTGTCCTCAAACACCAAGTTTCTCAGAGCACCACACGCTGCCCGCTGAATGTCTTCATTCTGAACCTCAAGGAGCTGTAAAAGTCTAGGGATACCACCAAGTGAGAAAACCTGTGAGGAAAACAAAACACAGCAGAGAACAGTCAGATACTGTAAATTACAAACTCCACGCTCCCCCTGCCCCAGCAAACGTTTAAATAGTTATAGGAATTCCTTTCATTTGCTGCTATTTGAGAGACTTGAAGCACAGATCATTAATCATTTGGACATGACTATTAACTTCTGGGCCTTGGTATGACTAATACTTAAAATCCACAACTAGGGGAGGCAACATGTTTTCATAATTAATATCAGAGAACAGTACTAAATCTCTTCCAGCTTTGCCACAGATTTGTACTCTCTGACAAGACATTTAATCACTCTGCTTTTTTAGCTTCCATGTTGGTGAAATAAATATTTGAGAATTAATTCTGGAACATTTATAAATAGGTTGGCTTTTTTTTTCCCTCAGCAACTAGCCTGATGAAAAGACAGTGTTCTTCCCAATGCAGTGTATTAAAACCCAATACATTATAATTAATCCTTCTTAACTGTGCCACACAGGGGAACAGTAAAAGTGAGCATCATAATGTAGAGCATTAACCATTGTTAGCCAGCTATCTTCCAAACTTCTCCTATTTAGCAAAGACTACTTTTCATTGTTTAAATCTTCAGAAAACGAAGTTTTGGTGCCAAATGAATGAAGGATTTAAAGATGTCATTTTACAGTAGCTGTATGGAAACAAATAGTTTGTTGTGGTGAAAGAGGAATCTCATATCACAAACCGGAATATGACACAGGCAAGCCTGAACTGACTTAGGAATTAATTTACTATGGAAAGTACCTTACATTAATGTACAATTGCCAATGGTGTCTCCAGCATCTCAAAATGCCATATGGTTTTGTGGACAAACTCACCCTTGTGTAGAACCAACAGCACATGAAAGACTCAGAAACCTGATACAAGTGTCTTAAACAGTCCCGAGTTTAACGATAAAAAGAATTCAATACAACTGGCAGGTGTTGGCAACACGAAGAAATGGAATGTTAACAAGGCCTTTTGTCCTTCATGGAGTAAACTACACAGCCTGGCAGCCTCTCCTCTAACCCACCTGTACAAAAGGCACGGTTTCTTTATCCTGCTCTGCTCACCCGATTCCCCCTGCAAACACTCAGCAACCACCTGAATGCTAGCAGAATGGAATACAGGAATATGTATCATGAGGGCAGTGGTGCATAGAGCATACTGAAGGCACATCAACCTGTTTTATTGCACTAGATCAGCCCTTTTTACACCAATATTGTAGTTCTTTGGTTTTTAAAAAATATTTATGCAGACTTTCTGTCAGTAATTTTAAGGCATTTATAGCTCTTGTAAAAGGAGTGCTATTTCAACATAATTGCTGAGAATTTACAACAGCTATTGACTGGTCCTTCTAAATTTTCATTAGTAGACAAAATTCACCAAAATACTGAGAAGTTCACAGAAACAGAAAAATCATTAGACCCACAAACTCTCAAATATCAGGGAACAATAGACAAAGAATGTAGGCTGAAAGGCTAAAAAGAGGACACAAGACCATGCCGACATGAACAAGTCTGACAGGCACCAAACAAAAAACCTCATTATAGGATATGTGGGATAGATAGGAAAAGAGAAGGTAGCTTCAGGCTAACTGCTCCAATCTGAACACTACTCAGCCACTTGTTTTTCTGGGAAGCTGTCTGAAAGAGGTCTGGATAATAACCCAAACATTCAATTCTGAAGCCCTGTCTTCAGTGTGAAGTTAAGGTTGCCACGTGTACTGTGATTTTCTCCCAAAACTGACTCTGACATACCCTACAGCAAGTCAAAAGGACTGAGACGTGTTTGGCTGTCACTAAACTGGACTGCATGCACATGATTATGGAGGTTAGGCTGGGATTACTGAGCATATTACAAAACAAAGGACGGGTAATGTTTTTTAATGGTTAAAATTAAAAATCACCTTACACTTTAATGTACAGAACTGTTCAGCAGGAGAGACTGTCTTGGTTTGAAAGACAGGTATCTGCTAAGAAACCCCCTCCCTCCAATTTATTATAATTTGGAAATTAAGGGACTCTCAGGCAAAGATATGGGGGTAGAAATAACAGTTCATTACTAATATATCTAACAAGACAAAGAAACAACAAAAACAAAACAAAAAAAACAAAAACAAACAAAGAAACCCCCAAACCAACAACAGCTATGATATTAACAACCAACAGACCAGTGACCGAGTTGCAGTCCTGTTTTGGCCGCAGACCCCCTCTCCCTGCGCTGCAGTTACCGGCGCGGGGCAGGGTCGGTTCTGCACAGCTGCGGGAGGGCTGGGCTGATGGCGGTGGCGGCGTCCCAGGTAAGACAGGAATGGGGGCGAGACTTCTCTGCTCACAGTGTCGGTCGTGGTGCTCGGCAGGGTGCCCGGGGGTGGCAGATGGAAAGCGGGAAGGCAGCAGTGCGGTGTCTGACTGCAGAGAACGTGGTTCCTGGCATTGGGATAGCTGGGGGTGGTAGACAGCAGCACCGGCCGTCTTTCCTCCGACTCCACGAGCGAGAGACAGAGCGAGCAGCTCCCCCACCTCTCCTTTACCTGCCCCCAGATACCGCGGAAGGATTCCCTTCCCCCCTCTCTCCCCGCAAAGAGAGAAACTTCCAAAAAAAAAAAAAAAAAAAAGGGATAGAGAGTCTCTCCCCTCCCCTTGTCACTAGCCATCCGTGCCAGGGTGTAGCCATCACATTCTTAGCATGACAATGGGGAAAATTCCAAGGAGAGAGAAGGGGGAAAAAAGCCAACGCTAAACGAGACATATTTGTGTTCAGTAGTGACATTTAAAGAAAAGGAAAAAGAGAATATTTTTAATATACCCTTTTGAAAAACTTGTAAGAGACTTGAAAATTTGGTTAATCTAAACAATGTACTAATGCATGTACATAGTTCTAGCGAGCCCTTAACATTTTTGCTAATCCATGTACTTTTAAAACACATTTGTGCAGTCCTAACAAACCCTGAAGCTTGGGTAAGTTTGCACTGTACTCAGAATTTTCTTTTAGGGATATTTCTGCGTGTAAGTAAAAAATGAGAGACAGGAGCAACAATATTGACAAAAAGTTCAGACTATGATTTATAAAGGCTGAAAGAATTAAGTTTGTTCGGCCTGAAAAAGACCAAACTGAGTGGATACACAGTGAGTGGGTTCAAAAGAATCTGCAGCAAAACACAAAAATGCGTTTTAGGGAAAATATCCAACATCAGTATCCTATAAGGTTACTCGGATTGCCTTCTTTCTTTTCATGTTGGCACACAGTGCCATAAAGTATAGAATCTTATTTTCTCTATCTGATTGTAATTGACAAAACAATACTTACTTTTCTCCTGGCATCTGCTTTTTGGAAGCACTCATGCTGTATGAAAGTCACTGCAGCAAGGATCCTGGGGGTGGACTGAGTATTTTCACTCTTCAGTATGTTCACTGCACGTTCCAGTGTCATCTCCACTTCTGGGCTCCTTAAAGGTATAGACAGAGAGATCTCGTGAAGAAAAACTGCAGAAAAATGACCAGTCTTGTAAAACTAGGATTTTTGTGTTTTTCATGTAACTAGCTTTTCTTAAGAGATATTTTTTTTCCTTTCCAATAGCAGAAAATATCATAATGGCTTTAAGAGATACAATATTCGGGCGGAAGAGAAAGTCATAAATAGAAGTGTGGTTCTGGAGAAAGCAAGTCATGTTTTAAGTTATAACAACAAAATGGAAATATCAGTAGATGTTTCTATCAGTGTTTCCATACAGTGGATGAATGAAGAATGTGAAAGGAAGGATGAAGATGTGGGTGAGGATCAAAAGAAGGCCACAACCATGTTAGAGTGACTATTACTGGTTATGAAGATATCTTGATGTTTTCCTCAATAGTGTGATGACTGATTTTTTGTATTTGTCCTTATGCCTTTCATCAGTGTCTTAGTTCCCATATTACATCTATGCAGGACTCATAACCTCCTTTTTTCAAAAAAGGAAGTTGCTCCTTTGAAATAGATGGGCAAAGTCCTTTTTCAGGTGGGAAAAATAAAAATTAAACTGAGTATGTAGAGATTCTGTGGTAGAGGGCTAATGTAGAGAGTATCAGAAATATGTGCCACCACTTCCCTTCCAACTTCCAGCATGTTTGCTTAAATGATGATTGTGTTAGACAGCCATATAAAAAAATGGAAAGAGAGGTCACCAAACACATTTTTTTCCCCAGTAAATGGAACATAAAACATTTAATGGCACAATCAAGCTCTGGGACAGGTGGTTATGATGCTCCCCCGACTTTTTATTTACTTTTGGTTTCAAATATGCTGCACCGAGATTTAAAAAAATGGAGAGAGGAAAGCTGACAAGAATGTGAGCATTCTACTTTTTTTAAAAAATACGGATAGTTTTGTAGTAGCAGATGTGCCACTGGTCAGCACACCACGGAATTTATGTGGGAACTCAACCTCAAGATGCCAAGGGTATCCCAGAGGAGTGAAAGTCCATCAGGAGCCACTGTCAGGCTGAGATAGACATATGGACAGGCAGACAGGGCATTTCTAGGTGCTGGGGGTGTAGCTGTGCCCTGAGACTGACAGCAGCTCCCCAGTCACACAGTTAACCCTCCATGCAGCAGGCAGAGGATTTCTCTCCTGGTGTGCCCTACCATACTTGTATTGCTCTCCATTGGATAAAAACAACATTCCCTAATGTTTCATCTGGCAGCAATAAGGGATGCAATACCATCTCTGACCCTCAATGGTATTCATAAAGCTGCAGCACCCTAACTCTTATCAAAATAGAATTTGATGCAAAGATTCCATTCCCATCCTCAAAGTATTTACAGGCAAACTTAATTAGCTCTGTGGCTGACTGGTACATGAAGTGACACCAAACAAATGGCCAGCCAAGCAAAGGTTGTTAAACAGATCAATGACTTGACAGATTCTGACTTCATCTTAACTGCCAAAATATGCCAATTTTGAGACAAATACATACATAATAATTTTGTGGCAGCTCTCAGCACATTTAGAGGTCAGATTCTGCAAGCAGCCATTTTTCAGACTGCTTCAGGCTGAGTCTCTCTCTTTTCTAAGCTCTTAATCATAAGGATGCTCTTAACTGATTCACTTCACCAGCAGATACAGAGATAGCATCTCTGTACTCTGATTTTTTTTCTACTTTGCTTTCATAGTATGAGCTTATTCTTTTACAGGAAGTTTGAAAATGCTTTTAGATATATTTCAAATGCTGAACATAGCTGGTCTACTTCTTATCTTTGACCTTACACAACTATTTTACATTCTCGTAATTCACTTGGAAAGACAAACTGTGACCTATATTAAAAAAAAAAAGTACAGATGCCTGGAAAAATTAAATTACTCCAAAAACAAACTTATCTTTTTTTTCCCCCTTTACATTACTAAGGGAGCAACAAGTAAGGTAGCAATATGTCAGTTAAGGGCAACCCTAAAAGAAGAGAATGAGAACTAACAAGAAAACTGAGAGTGTCTACATGAACTGCAGAAACTTCTGGCAAACACTGAACCTAAAACCTTGCACTTAAGGAATTATGCCATCACAAAGATTTCTAATAGATCACAAATCTTCCATCTCAGTTAACATGGTCACAATCAAGGCACTTGCACAATGATTCAAGACCGATTTTTACATCTGCAGGTATTAAAATACTTTGGCTGATGCCTGTACAGACAGATAACTAGACTGCAGTGTCTGCACCTAGGAAAGGTGCCAAAGAAAAGCCAAAATTGCTCCTACATGTAATTCAAGATAAAAATTGTTGGTTGTGGCTCAGAAATGCATTCAAGAATGCACCAAAGCCTAAGAAGATTATTAAATCAATGGGATACATGTTTATAAATTGTCTTACTGAAAAACAAAACCAAGTACCAATTTTCAGTATTGCTACTCCAAAATCTTTAGCTGTTGTGAACTCTCAGCTGGTCTTTTTTGGACTTACTAGTTCAAAGTCTGAATACTTAAAAGTCAACATAATTAATGTCAGATCTCTTAAATCCTGCCTCACCCAGAGATGAAAATTTCAATCCAGACCAGAAATGAGCACAATACCATATATGTTTGCAAATATAATCACAACACACAACATATAGTTGACAACAAAAAACATCTGATCTGCACATAGCAGTGATATCAGCTAATGCCTTTTCTCACACAGCAAGAAACTCAGAAAAAGAAGAAAGATAAGTCTTTGAAAAATGAACTTAACAGCTACACAGTTATGGGGAAAAAAGCCATTTCTTAATAATACTGTTGTAAATTACACTATGATTCACTTAAACAGAAATTTTAGGATCCTATTTGAATTATGAAACAACAAAAAGCAGAATAAACATGCAAATAACCATCTCCTGTATACGAAGTGGCTTGTTCTGTCCACTGAAACATAATAGCTCTGGAAACATTCAGAATTGTTCTAAAATGAAAAGATATTCACTTCTGAAGGGAAATTCAGAAATAACAAAATCTCTCATTTGAAAATAGTATAGATTTTAAACATTCTGAAATCTTCTCTGGAAAGGAATTTTTGGTGGGGAAGTAATTTTGGGAAAAATCTTCAACAACCTTTTCCAGTATTTTAAACAATTTTCATGAAGTCAGGGGACAGATTTGGGAGTTTTTGGCATGGAGTTAACAGAGTTTCAAATTAAGATAACTCCCTCAGAGCATGTAGGATCTCATGATAGTGAGAAGCTCTGGAGTCTTGGGATACAGAGCAGTTTGTATTTGTTCTTGGGATTGATGGTGCTGCAGAGCTAAGAGAAATTTCTGCCTGTCTTTTACCTGAAGTTTATAAATACTAAGAGGTGTCCTTGAAACCATGAAGGATTTTTAACTGGAAACTGTCAATCTACCAAAAGCTGTTCCACTGGTACATTTCTGATCTGTTCTTGTGAGAACCAGTGTTGATATTGTATGGGCTTTTGTGAGCACAAAATTTGCCAATACAATTTTGTGTATTGGGACTTAGGTTGTAAATTACGCAGTGACTACTCAGTGACTACATGTCTCCTGATAAAATTAAATAAAAGACATAATTAAATAAAATCTTGGCAAAAGGGGGTCCCAAATTTCACCAGGAGGCGTAGACCCTGCACTGTACACACACACACATTTTTTCTCCCCTTTCCTCTGTTGCACTGGATGTGGATTTTTAAAAGCCGATCTAATTTCTGCCTCCTCTGCACTGATATTTCATACTTGGTGCTGGCTGCTGACCCACAAGCTATCAATTTACTTTCTAACAAACACGTTCCTGTGAGCTGAGAGCCCAGAGCCAAAGCAGGTCCTGCACTGTGCTTACCCGAGCTGAGAGCCATTGAGGGTCACCTGCTCGCTCTGCAGGAAACTATTTCTCCCTGCTGCAGCCATAGCAGCTGTCACTGGCATCCTCTTCCCATCCGTTTCTGCAGTGACACTGGCTATGGAAGCTGGCTGGGAAACTTCCCTCCTGCTCTGTGTGTTTCTGAAGGCAGTTTGGTAGAAGCTGGACCTCACAGATTGCCTGTTCTGAGACAAATAGGACGCAGTCGGGGACCTCACTTGTCCCATGGCGCTCTCTGAGGCCAGGTAGTTTTCCTTCTCCAGAAGGTTGGTCATGCTGCGGCTGTTGCGAGGCTGGTGGGACAGAGGGACAGAGGGACTGGGGTAGGCACCATCAAAGACAGCATCGCTGACACTCCCCACGCCGGACTGCCTCTTGAAGGAGTGTCCCCTGTGCATGGAGTCGCGAAGGCTGTAACCAACAATCTCGGAGCGAGCGTATCTTGGCGGCACAGTCCCACTGGATCTCAGGCAATCTCCGTGCCTCATGGAAAAGCCAGCTGAAATCCCTCCGCCATAGTGAAAATCGTTGGATATGTACGCCAATCTTTCTGGATTTCGTTGGGGTGAAACCTCCAGTCTTTTCAGAGGCTGTCTTTGAGCTCTCTCTTCCATCGTCCTGTAAGCAATCCTTGTCCCCCAGCCATTTGTGTAAGAGGATGGGGAGGCAACCTGCTCCAGAGGGTGTGAAACAACAGGAACCACAGTAAGGTCACAGCACTTAGGCTTAGCAGCATAGAAACCAAAACAAACAAAGTAAAGTCAAAAATTCCACAGTGTGCTCTCAGAAGCACAAAAAAAACCTGTGAACATCGCCAAAGCTGTGCATTAAATGGGACTCTGCCACACTTCTTTGTACCTCCCTCATGAAGGCAGGAAGAATTACAGTCTAAATATCAGGAGACAAAGTCTAAGCATCCAGTCTTGTGTCATGAATTCAAAATAGTTGCAGAAGTCGATTATGCCAAGTAATGAACAGATTGATTATTAATGGAGATTTTTCAGTTGAAACTCCTTGGGGATTAACACTAATATCTGCTTCTAAAACTAAATTCAAGGCTGTCGAATTGACAGAAGAAAATTAATCAATCAGATACAAAAAATATTATACTTCAGTGTCTGTGTATTGATAATAACCTTATTAATATCATGTTATTTAGCATAGTGTTCATTTGTGACAGGAGCAAGTAAAAAGAGATCATCCCCACTTATCTAGCCTCTTAAAAATTAAGGAGATTGTATAACATTCCACCATCTCAATGACTTCACTAATTTTACAGCTGCAATTTTAGATTACTTTTTCTTCCTTTACCTAATGGGGACAGACTGTACTGGATCACCATCTTGCTTTACAATTTTCTCTTTCCTAAGCCAAACAAATCAACTGCTGTCAACCTTTCTTTGTGGAATGTATCTTCAAGATTCTTACTTTTAGGTACAGTTTGAGGCCTCTTGATTCTCATACTTTTTTTCTTGTACTCTATATTGGACTGCATATTCCATTCAAAGCCTTCCAGAACTAAATCAACTTGGGAGAATATCTGGCCTTGAAATAGAGGAGTTGTGGACCAATTTTTTAAAAAATCAGTAAGCATAGGGGCATACAACCATGAAAGAAAGCTCCATATTTTCCATTTCCACATTGTATTAAAGTTTAGAAATATTAAAGGCATTTTTTAAGGTAAACTGAGAAGTTTACACAAGCTTTTAATTGAAGAAACAGTGCTTAGCAGACAGGTGCTGGACTAAATTCCCTTAATGTCACTGTTGAGGAGATCCTGAGGGTGACAGTTGACCCACAAAAGGAGTAAAGGTTATAGAAACAAGCAGGCTCAGGCAAAGATCATTGGACATATCTCTTTGCTCTACAGAAGTTATGCAAGGATATCTCTCGCTGTTGTTTGGGGATAATTAATTATAATTATATTAATAATAATAAAAATATAATTTTAATAATTAATGTGAAGTACTAGACCTCATGGCTTTTCCCAGCTTTTACACTTTCTTCTCTTTTGTCTCCACCCCCTGCCTGGTAACCTATTATTTTCTTGTGATTCCTATGTCACCTCCAGTTTTCCTCTTGCTGCTCTCCTCTGGAAGGAATGGATTCAGCTCAAATATCATGGACTGCAGGCCAGGTGAGAACAGAGGATGGCAGGACAGAGAATGAAATGTGTTTAGGTAAATGTTTCTGTCTCTCCCTCTACAGAGCCAGAGCTGCTTCACTGACTGTTCAAAAGCTGGGCTATTACTTTTAATGACAAAAAGCCATTCTTGACTAATCTCAAATTAGGAAGGAATTGCCCCCTTCATACACAGTTATTTAGTAAATAAATGTTTCTGTTCTCAAGCTAAAATGCTTCCAGTTTACTAAATTGATCATGCAGGAGCATTGCTATTGAACTGTGTTGATTTCCCAGTCACTCCTTCAAACATGTACAAAACCAGTTATGGGTGGTGTCAAAAACCCTGAAGAAAACCAATTATTTATCTCAGTATTCAGGACATGACCCCCAAGAAAAGCTGGCCAAAATAATAAGAGAATTTATGATTACATGGTTTAGAAACATCATTGTATTTCAAGGACTGTACTGCTGGAATTCTTGTTATGATAATACGGGTTACAACAGGAGTATTTTAAATGATAAGGAACCATTCTATCTTGTGTAAATGAAAGTATTTGCAAAACAAAAGCAGTCTGTTTTTCTTTGGTTTTGGATGCTTAATTCTGTTTGCCTGGGTAGCATGGCCTCTGGCCACCCTGAGGTACAGATGTGCTGACTGAGCTGCTGTCTGGTGGGAGGGATCAAGATCTGTTTTGTCATATCCTTTGCATTAGTGGAGTGTAAATATGATTTTTCATTTTCTACCCTGATGCCAATTCTCACAAACCCTATAGGACTGCAAATAGCTCATTCGTATGACTGACTAGAATTTGGCTACTAGGCTCTGAAGTCATTGGAAGGGAGAATATGAAGAGATTTCATTGTAAAACCCTCATTTTCTAAAAATCAGGTTTTAAGAAGAAAACAAACAAGCAAACAAACCGTGTAACACCATCTAAATGCTATTATTTGTGGCAACAAAATGAATAAGCTATGTGTGTGATACTATATTTATTTCTACTCATTGTCTTCCTTTCCTCACCTGGTTTGCCTGGTAATATGAGAAACTGTAGGGAGACCTTGGTGCAAAATCATTCTCAGTGATCCCCATGTTATAGACACGCTCTGGTACACTGGATGCACGGTGCAGGCTGCCTGGAACCAAATACTAATATTAGTAAGATCTTACCAAAACATGGTATTGTCATAGAAGATGATACACAGTACTACTGAAAGGTAGCAGTCAGCACTGACATCTATATAAGCTGAAATTGAACAGGGAAATGATAGAGGGATATTTGCATTTTCCCGAGGATACAAACCATTTATTTCAGTTCCCCATATACTTTACTTAAGAGTTATTTTTAGCTTTTAGGAGTCTAGTGACTCGTGCAGCTATGAAAAATGTTTTAGGAAAGCAAACTGACATTTTAAATATCCCAGATAACGAACTGATTAAGTGCTGAGAAACAGTATCACTGAACCAAGAACACTTATTTTTCACTCTAACCACTTTGAATGTACATGCAAATATATAAATGCATGGTTTACACTGGCTGACTATGACATGCAAAGTACCCAAGAGATGAAAATATTGCAGCTGTAGATTGGAGCTGAGAAACACGGGTTGATGTCTGTATGTGTTACTGTGCACCCTAGAGATGCAGATTTCACCATGTATAGTTGTAAACAAACAGCACATACAGAATGTAGACTCTTTATTTCACAGCTGTCTACCTCAACTGCTGCTGTTTCTTCTCTCAGGTGCTAATTTAATGACAATGTATTGGAACAAAAAATGCTTCACTAATCTCAATACTACACCCAAACAACCCAAAGTCTTTGAATAAACTCTAGGGCTCATGGTGCTGAAAAGTTGGGTTGTTCAGTGACATTTCAAATCTGCACCTGAAAAGTTCACTAATCCTATAAATAATGTCAAAGATCTACAGTTTATCTGCTCTGATTCTTTTTTCCCACGACCCAGCTCTGAAAATAGAACAGTGTATTGTGATTATTTCTTCCATTAAAACCCCAAACAGGCCAACAAAACCTTCAGGTTGTTCCTTTTTTTCAACGACAGAATGCATTTTCAAAGAGTGAGTGCTTCTATTAATGAAAGTTTTAAAAGCAGCAGATATTAATGAAATAATTATTTATGAGATTCCCATATCACTATGAGAATCTGCATATAGGAACATAATTAACACAGGTTTAAAGAGGTGAAACAGAAGTTGAAAGCAAGACCTCAAATCAGTCATAAATGGGCCTATTAGGCTGAATAGGTAAGAGTGGTCAATAAAGAAGTTAACTAGCCATCAGTTTTCAAAATAGCAAATATTACCTGAGATACTACAGAAAATAAATCTAAAGAACCAATCACTGACTTGCCCAAAATCCTGAAGATCAGATTTGTGTATCTGATAATATAGTAAAATACAAACCAATATAATGGTAGACTGTGATAATTTGAGGCCTAATTCAATCATAATTTGCAATTATTTCGCTTGTGTAATCATACATCCAATTCTCTCATTTTGGCAGCCTTAAACACATATGGGGTGATTTGTTAGGACACATTCACAGTAGCTTAGTGTCATGAGAGTGGAATGGTGCAGATTGGTCAAACTCATGATTTGGATTCTAATAATTCTTTCCTGACATTACAAGGTTTCCACAGCCCACGGGTTACCTGAGTATATGAGAACGAGGCTCTCTTATACTGCAAAAAATTCCCAGAAATGTGCACCAACATCCCAACTCTATGAATTTGTATGGATGTCTCATTTGTGTCATGTAATTCACATAGCAACGTACTATTTCAGGTGCCCAGTAAGAGTTCATCTCAGCTAAGTGCTGGCTTTTTGAAGATTCACTTTCTTCATTGCTGCATATTAAAGGACTTTCATACAATAAATCTTGAAATACTAATTCCCCTACATTTCTGTTTCTTTACAGTTTGTATTTTTTTTCCTGTTTACCATACTTAGTGAGAAAGTATTCTCAGTTATCTACTTAGGGCATAAAGGCCCTTTCAGCAAGTAATTTTTTGTATTATTTTAGGTAACTCTAAGCATACCTTTATTACAAAAATAATTCAAAAGAGAGGATAAGTTAAAAATAGCAAGGCCATCCTTTAACTGGTTGAGGATAAAATACATATCTAACAGTTCCTTCCTTGCAAAAAGAAAATACAGTCAATCAAAAAATGTACCATGAAGTTATCTTTCAAGCAGTCCCCTTTTTTCACCTTCAGTCTCCCTGTGAAATTATCCATCAATAAAAATTTTCCTCTTTCAGAGACAAACATATGTCAGCCTATAGAATTTCACTTTGCAGTTATCTCTTGCTTGCTCTTATCACATCAGTAAATTATTTTGCTGGCCTTTTACCTGTAGATTTATTAGGCAGACATAAAAGGCATGCCTTTTTACTGTATGCTGGTTACTTGTGCCAAAAGTCAGTGTAGTAAAGGAAAAAGTGGGAACTGAAATGCTGTGCCTTCCAACAGTTATGAGATGCAGAACAGGTGACCTGATCAGAACATGCCTGTGCCAGCAAGGCTTCCTTCAGTTTATTTTCACCATACTACAAAAACCTTACATACTCAGTGCACTGTTTTGATTTTAAAACGTCATGAACTATTATCTTTTAAATTTATGTTATGTTCTCATTCACTGTTAGGACTAATACTTTCTGACTGTGATCCTCAGTGTTTCAAGTCCCACAAAAACTCACTCAGGAAATAAGCACGTGATGCAGTTACTCATCCACAGGGGACAAACACTATTTGAGAGGCCATAGGACACCACACTTGATTTCCAGCAGCCAGTCAGGAAAAAATTGAGTTTGCTGCAGGCCCTGCATCATGTCTGTCATCCCATAAGGGTATTTTGGACAACTCAGGCATCTCAGACAGCACCAGACGCCCATGTGTGGGGAACTGCTTATCAGTTCCCTCTCCCCTGTCAATATGAACTAAAACAGCTGAGGAACACCTTGGTTGTGGTCAATGGAGGAGGCAAACTGAACCCCTCCATTCTCTTCCACGCTTAAAATAAAAGCTGCATACAAATTACCTGACATTGCAACAGTTACAAGAAAATTCTGAGACCGGTAAAAATAATAACAGTATCAGGAGGCTGTACAGATGACTGAGCAGAAATCTCATCTGTCTCCACAGAGGCTCTTCTCAAGGCCCCTTTGCTCCCCTGGATGTGACAAGCCCAACACCTCCCAAGGCTTGGAAATTTCTCCCCAGCAATCACTGCCTATAGCTGCAGACAGACCAACCTAATGTTTGCTTTGCTTTCAAAAACAACAATGACAAGAAGCATATCCAAGATATCTGGTAGATGAAAAAGACAATTATCTCCACTAAGGAGCTGGATGTATCAAAACCGCCTTAAATAATGTACAGTGGTAACTGTCTGTTCTGAGTCTTTTTCAGCACTTTAGTATTTGAATGGATCCCATGAAAGCCAAATGTTGGTTTTGAACCTCTCAGTGCAGTCGTCAGCGTAGCTGTGCCTGCACACACCAGTGTAACAGGAACTGAGGGACGGTCAGACACCTGGAGTGCTCACTGTCCCCTCTTGCTCAGGGCACCTGGGTAGTCACCTCCCCACGGGGACTCCTCAGCGCTCCTGGACTGGGCACCCTTTCATCCTTTTCTATCCTTCAGCACTCGGGATGGACTGAGATTATGACATTTAATAATGGCATATCAAAACCATCACTGATTCTCAAGATCAAAGAGCCTTCCTTTTTATTGTGCTCCTTCATCACTCTGCCAGCACATGCCTGGTCCCAGAGTTTTTATAACATTTTGTGTTGGTTAGGACATTTACACAGAGGTTCAAATTTAAGAAAAATATTTCTTCTGGCTCAGGAAGCAAAGGCGAGGAATATAACAAAACCAAAAAAAAATTGAAAGTCAACATCGATATTTTTTCTACTTCCTTATCCCAAAAAGATAGAAACAGACAATTACTATGCAACAGTTAACATGCCAGCATTCTGTAAAACAGAAAGCTAAGGACAGAAAAGTGCCCTGAGTCCCTAAAAGCAATTGTGACAACAAAATACTAAGAATTTTAGAAATTAATAAATATGAGGAATAAATTGATTTCTACCGTTTATATCTGATGCTGTTTATCTGGAAATCACATAGGATTGAATTTTGCTTTTATTTTTTTTATTGTTTCTTTGGTTTTGTTTTTGTTAAACACACTGTGTTTATAAAATTTGTTAGCAAAAGAATCAGTACACAGCCAGCAGCTCACTAGACCATTTGGTTTTGTACGATACATTACTCAATTCTGCCCCTGATTTTACAGTGAGGATCTGATAAGGATGCCTTGAAAAGCCAATCAAAATCCAAAAGGAACAAGATCAGAGGCAAATGGACTCATAAACAGAATGAAGTTTAAAAGATTCCTAAAATGTACATAAAATAAAAGCAGCATGTACGACAAAACACCAGTCATTAAAGTCTATGATTCCAAATGCCACTTTTACTTTGATAAGGTGGAACTACCTACCATTGTATTTCCATCTTTAAATAGCATCCAGAAATTTGATATGACTGCTTTGGTTGCTCAAAACTTCTAAGGGCAGCCCAGTCTTTAATTTATAAAGACTCAGCAATGAATAAACTGGACAAATTGCAGCTGTTGCTGAACTGCTTGAAAAGCTATTAACAATGCTTGACAACATCTTGAAAAGAGCTGAGGACATATGTAACTTCAATCTTTTGGTAGCAGGTGGACTCCTCAAATCTGAAAATTACTGAATTTCTATTATCAGAAAGAAACACACCTTCCAAAAGGGGGAAAAGGGCATGGAACAACAAAGAGTATGAGGGTAGGAGGAAAAAGTAAGTTTTTCCATATAAAAGTAGTGCTGAAGGCTAAGCAGACACCTCTAATTTAAAACTCTAAGGAGAGATTATGCTGACTGACAAACTGCTTCTTGTGGCTTCAAAGTTTCCAGCACAGTCTAGAAAATGGGTGTGCACCGATGACACTGGGCAAGACCTTTCCTAGCACTGATTATCCTTACCCAGTGGTTATGTGCTTGGCTAATTTTAGGCATGCATGTGAACACTATGGTTAGGTATGCACTAAGTACCTTGCTGAGCAAAGTCTGAAATACTCCTACAGACAGGACAGTTATATCACAGGGGACTGCTACTGCTCCCTCTAAATCTTTGTAATCCTCCCCTCAACTGCAAACAATATAGGAACCTTGATTAATGTAGTCAGAAAAGGGCTATACTACACAAAAAGGGATGCTTTTGCATGTAAAAGAGCGCATATTCTTTAAAAGTTCCCTACACATCAGAATTCAAATGTTTCTCAAAGCATGGGCCAGTTTTGAGCAAGTCTATATAGAAAGCACATTGGGACACACATCGATGTATGTGTATATTTTTCAGGAAAGTGAACATGTTAAGTGCAAGATTGGCTATGATTCACAATATATGTATTTAAGATATAGATAGATATACATGTATTATATGTATGTATAAATTCATGGAATGCATTTAAGTTTTAATTTTTTTTTCTGAGTTTTGCAGTGGGACTAAAAATTGTACAACAGCTTGCCCATAAAAATACGTTTAAAAGAAGAAAAGTTCATTTTCTGCATGAACAAGACATGTTACAGACATGTCATTTTTCACCCCTTATCCTGAAGTTTAAAAGTTTTGGTGTCTCAGAAATGCAAGGGCATCAAATACCTGACCTTTAGAAAAACAAAGCAAACCAAGATAACTATCTTGGTTTATTATAACTAATACATCAGGTCTGTTAATGTACTGCAGAGAAGCCAAGATGACTTGACAGCATGGGAACTGCGTTTTCACAGTGTTTTATGCATGGTTTAGAGACATGAGCTCAGGTTCATGACACTGTATCATTTATAAGGTACTGCTTAAAAAGCTTTTTGCAGGCTCTCTGCTGAGAGAAAAGGAAATTAAGCAACTCTAAAAATGTTTAGAAACCGTATTTACATGACAGCAGCCAAGCTAAATACTTGCATGTTTATCTGCACATTGCACACCCATTTATGTGATTTGTACAACTGCTTTCTACAAGCAGAATATGTCCATTTTTGCCATAAGCTGCTTTTTAAATAGAGACTAGACAAAGAACAAGAAAATTTTCGTCTGTCTTACTGTTAAGATAGATAAGTGAAGTATGGTTATAAAGACTTTTGTCTCACAGCTTTTAGTAAATAAAAGGTGACAACCTCTTTAAGGACAACAGAGCAACAGGGCATGTAACTTGAAAATCAGTCCTATCTTCCCATTAAAAACAAAATTAAAGTCTCATGGTATATAAAGTTTTCATGAATAGTTAAGACTAAACCCCTCGAGCATCTTGCCTTTAACCCTCAGCACCTGGCAGTCAGCCTGTGGGTGCCTGATGTTGTGGTCGGGCTCTGCCTGGAGCACAAGGTGTGGCTGCAGATTTCCAGACGGGTCTGGCCTCCTGGCTACAAGATCTTGGAAGCGAGGGATGATTGACGTCAATTTGTATCACGCATGTCAAAGAACTGGGTAAATAATGTCTGATACCATTAGCGTTCTATGCTTCCCATTCATGCCTTTCCTAGAGTTACTTTTCCAAACTTTTAAGTTTGTTTTTTTGTTGTTGTTGTTTTGTTTTTTAATTTTTTTTTAATTTCACGGTTAAACAAGGCAAAACTTTTCCTACGATTCTTCCCATTTCACTTCGCAAACAGGGGCAGTGGGTAAAGCTAAAAGCATTAAAATAAGCACATGAAGCGGCTGCTGAATTAGGAGAATTTCGGCTCGGTTCCCCTCTCGGGCAGCGGAGAGCCTGGAGAGGCCCCGCCACGCACCGAGCTACCGCGGAGGTTGGGAGGGAGAAGCTTCTGACTCGCGGCGGTGGGAAAAGAGTAAAAGAAGAAATGACAGAGCCACGATTTTCTACTCGAGCAGTCCGCACGCCCCAGGGCCAGGAAGCCGCCGACACGGGGCCAGCTGGGCTCCCATCCCAGAGCAGTGTCCCAGGTCCCTTCCCGTGCTCCCGCTGGCACCGGAGAGCTTCGCGGGGCGGGGCGGGCACTCACCATTGTACAGTGAGCCCCGGCTCTTCCTGGCCAGGGTCTGCTGGACCTGCCGGTGGATGCGCAGCGCCTTCTCCTCCCCGGCGCGATCTCCCGAGAGCTTGAGCCGGTCCTCGGAGGGTAGCGCCAGACTGGAGCTGTCCAGCTCGCCCAGGATCTGCTGGCCCAGCACGGTGCGGATGTAGCCCTGCTCGGGCCCGCGGCCGGCCATGGACACAGCCAGGCTGAGCTCGGCTCCGCAGAGCTGTTGCGCCTCTGCCGCTTGCCCAGTGCCGGGGCCGAGACGCGCCCCGCCCGCCGCACAGGTGCCAGGCACAGCCCCCTCCCCGCCCCAGCCCGGCTCGACCCACGGGACTGGCCCTCCCCTTCCCCTGCTCGGGCCCTCGCCGCTATTCTGCTTCCCTGCCCTACCCGCCGGGGGGAAAGGTCCGGCGGCGCTGCCCGTCACGGCCGTGCCCAGCCCAGCCCAGCCCAGCCCAGCTCAGCTCAGCTCAGCCCAGCCCAGCCCAGCCATGCCCAGCTCAGCCCAGTCCAGCCATGCCCAGCTCAGCTCAGCCCAGCCCAGCCCTCCACAGCGGGGAGCGGCCGCCGCCTCCGGGAACCGCCGCTTGTCTCTGTCCTCCGCCGGGGCAGTCCCGAGGCTGAGCTCCCGAGGCCGCGATCGTGCGTTTGTGTTTGCGTTTGTGTTTGTGTCGCACCCGCCGGGACACCGGGTTCCCGTCGCACGTGTAGCCCCTCGTAAACAAACACGCGGACCCATTTTAAACATGTGCCGTCCCTTATAGATGCTTTTCGCCACGGTATATATAAGATAATTCTATATTCTTACACGTTTACACATTTTGTATGTAAGTTTCAACCTGGAAATAGCAGATGATCTAAGCGCGATGGTCCGTGCTGTGAAGACCAAACTTTCAGGCGGTAGTGGTTATAGGGCTGCTGGCTTAGGAGGTTTTCCTGCTTGTCTGGGTTTTTTCCAGGCTGCCCTACGGGATTGCAGAGAGATGAACTGCAGGCTCCTCTCCGTTTCGTTGTAAAGACGTGATGAGAGCATTGTGCAATTCAAGCTTGGAAAAGCCCCGACTGGCTCTTCCCCTGCCGTCGTGAGCGGGTTTTGCCCCCTGAAGTACAGCTGGGAAAAGGCTGAAGTTCTCAAACGATCTCAGGACACGGTTTGGAGTTAGTGTTCAAACACTCGACTCACGGTGGGTTGAAAGGAGGAACAAGGGAACGTACAGTGTGTTGGGGAAAGGAAAATGCAGGCTTTAGAGAAAGAACTAGGTGATCCAGGGTTGCACAGTTAAAAAATCCCCAAATTTCACCAAACTACACAAACTACAGGTATTTCAACAGAAAACTCGCTGATTCCTAAAAGCAAATGAAAACTAATGTCGCTTTCAACTTCACATACTGCTATTTCAGATACCTGCTGGGACTCAAAATGAGCTATTGAAGCTTTTTTTTGTACCGAATCTTAGGCAGCAGTGAGGGTACAGATGCCTGGGGAGGAGCTGGGGTGATACTTTTGACTTAGGGTACGCGGTAACATAAGAAACTAGGCACCTTCTCACAAAACTCAGGGTGGGGAGGAAGAACTGGCTCCACACGACTCCAGAATTCTTTTACCCCTGATTTTTTTACTCTTTGTCTCTCTCCTGTTTTTTTCACTAAAAGGGGGAGGGAGCTTTGGCGCTTTTCATCACTTGGACTAAAGTCACTCCCCTTTGTTCTAATGTGGCACCCACAAGAGAGTGATACAGGAGAATATTTTTACTGGTTGAGGGAAAAAGAGTGACACACTCCTTCTGCCCTTATAAATGGGGAAAAGTTATATATTGGAGCAGAAAGGTTGGAGATAGTGGGGTAGAGGGGGGAACCAGCTGGGAAAGAAGAGCAGAAACTTGTGGAGAGGAGGGAATTGGAGGTATGTGGGAGAACTGCAGATAACAGTGGTTCCCCAGGCATACAGTCTTTTGTAGTAGGACAGGAATAATTTGCACCCTGACCTGTTAATACAGCTGTGTTCATGTCATCAATTACATGCTCCTGATGAATATTGGCAGAACTGGGATGGGCAGGAAATAATTGTCGCAGAAAAGTGCAAGGGTAAAAAAAAGAATGGACAGGATAGGGTAAGAAAAACAATGGGGAAGATACATCACAGCCAGAAAGGAATGTAAACTATGTCAGACCCTTTTGCTGACATGCAGTCACAAAAGCATTTCCAGTAAACAATAGATATTTCATTCTCAGGCAGTATGAGTGAGGAGATTAGAAATAGTCTAAAAAATGTGAAACATTTCCTCCCCTCCTCCTTTTCCCTGCCCTCTTCTCCATTCCCTAACTCCAGCACAAACACGAATTCTGGTTAGTTTTTATAGCCAAAGCTAATTTGGTTTAACACAAAAAAATGCACCTGAAATGGATTTAATATTTCGAAAATACTTTTGTAGATGGTGTGCTCGGATGCCACTGACACCACATAGAGGTTTACAAATTCTTGGCACATTGGCATTGCCTCTGTTGGAAGTACTGTGAATTGTTATTAACTTTATTTAGCAAGTATGTACATTCATTTGTGCTTGTGAGATCCATGGCAAAAGACATAGCAGTTTACTATTTCTTTAAAAATCTTTAATTGGATTTCTGAGATGGATTTGTCTCCTTGTAACTAGGAGTGCTGACTGGAAAACTAGGGGTGGGGGAAGAGAGGAGAAAGGAAGAATTTTGCCTGCACAGCAATTCAGAAAATTCTTAGCCAAGATCTGAAAAAGAAATGAATTGAGGTTTTTTTCTTAGCTGAAGAAAAGAAACAAGTATCATGTAACTGATTGCCCCATCAATAGCAATTCTTTGAGGTTCATTTATTTTGGATTAATGTCCCATCTCAACTGAATTAAAAAAAAACAAAACCCAAGTCTTTTGAGAGTGAAATACTTTAGCAGTGTCATTTGCAGATGGAAAGCAACATAGTTGGGGTTACCCCTAAAAGATTGTAACTTGTGATGCATGTTTACTCATTAGATTTTTGAAAAAGAGAATTGATTATGAAGCATATGCTGATTAAGGGATGTGGAATCACATATAAAAACATTTGCTTTCAGCCCAGTGCCTGATGCAGTCAAGCAGATCAGGAAACCAATTTTTTTTTTATAATATGTATTTCTTATTCTTACCAGACGTGCTTGGCCTAAACCACACAACCTTTCTCCATCAGAACTTTCCCAAAAGTGATATTTATATGAAATTTGTAGTGATTTTTTCTTTCACTCTTTTTTTTCCTTCCTAGTCCCCCCTCCCTCTCTGTTAGGACTTATGGAACCAGCTGGGTTTGTAGCCTGGAAACAGATGATTTTCAGCTGCAGGAAGAACTGGTGTAAGAATGAACACTAATGTGTTCAGTTTAAATGTGAAGCTGCCTCTTAAATACACCCAGAAATAATGTGTGTAAATCTCTAGGACTACACAGAAAACGAAGTGCCATTCACTCAGGGTTTGGTTTCCACCCACCCCCCACCTCCACCTTTTTATTTTGGATCCCCTGGCTGAAGGTGTTATACGTAAGTGCCGGCTAGTCAGGAAGAGTAGGACTTTTTTCCTACACGTGTCCTCTTCCCTCTGGTTGGATTCGCGTGATCCCTCCTAGGGAGAGGGAACAGCCGATCCCGGGCAGGGAAAGCCCTCGGAGGAGCGGGAGGCCACACTGCCACCGTGCGGCCCCTTGCTGGAACGGCACGGCCGAGCCCGCTCCTTGTCAGCTCCCGGCAAGCAAAGCACATTTGGAGAGTACACACGAAAGGGTTAACTGCATGCTTCGTGCTTTGAAACCTGAGGTCCGTATTTTATTGCAATTTTGTTTGTATTTTCTTCCTTTGGCCTTTTTTTTTTTTTCCCCCTACTCTAGCATCATTTCTGGAAACAGAGAAGCAGAAGATCCTCTGTTTGGTCCTGTAGGATAATTTGAAGTAAATACTTTTTTTTTCCTGAGACACTAGAGGAATAGTGGTATTTTTCCATTGGTAAAATGAGTGTGATAGCAGTTCTCTGACCATAAGAGATATTGCAATAAACAAAGTAAGGGCTGTCATTGAGACTCTGTCTGACCTAGATAGAGTCCAAGGGAGCAGCAAATTGCCTGATGAAAGGAAAAACACAGTCACACATACACACACACACGATGAAAATTATTCACATTGAGATGTCACAAAATTTCACTCACTTCCATGAGGTGAGTGTGGAACTGCTGGTTTTGAAAATCCAGTCCATAGCCTAGAGCTGACTAAATGACTTGAGCAATGTCATACCAAAACTGCTGTATGGCCATGAGCTTGGCTTTATGTCTTAAGAGAGTCAAGGACTGCAAATAACAGTGGCTCCTCAGGCTTTTTATTTTATTGTGTAGTAGGCCAGGACTCGCCAGCATTCTGACCTTGTTAACAAAGCCCTGCTCATTTAATCCGTCAGGCCTCAGTTTGTTTCTCCCTGCAGCTGGAGGTGTTGGAGTCTATCCTACCTAGAGCAGGGTGGCAGCTGATGCTGGCCAGTACTGTAGCCCTCAGGTAAAATCTCTGCCTGAGCCACAGTCTGAGGAGCAGTTTTGCGTGGTGTCACTGCCACACAGTGCTTGATGTGATGGGAATGGAGTGATCCTGCCAGAGATCTGTTAGACATCTTTGCTGGGGTGCATTCAGCCAAGGGATGGTTTTTGAAGTCTGTGCCTGGCACAAGCTGTGGGGTTGGATTGTACTCTGTTACAACAGAGAAGTCAGTCTCCAAAAGAAAGTGGGATGTGTTGGTGTGGCTGCCCTCATGTACAATGACATCTGTCCTCTCTGATGCTGTAAAAAGGTTTTGTCACAGTGAAGGAGACAGCAGGAACAGAGGGAACTGCGATTAAGTTTTTAACATGCCTGGCTGTGAATAATCTCTGTGGAGATTCCCCAAATAGATTTTGAGAAATGTTTTACTTGATAGTAGGCTCCTCTATACTGTGGGTAGGGGACAGTTTGGTTGCACAGCCCTATTGGGAAGATATTTTTCAGAGGTTAAGAATGGAGGAGACAGCATTAATCTAAATTTTCCATCTCCCAGCTGATCCTTTGTGTTTGGTACGACCACCTGCATGCTGTGAACTGAAGATGGGGTGATCAGCAAGTTCTGGGTAAGGTGTCAAAGCCCCTGCTGTCCCAGCCAGTCAATATCTTGTGGATAACATTCCCCTGACTGCACTCTTCCTA